CCCCTCTGTACAGACAACTCCGGCATGGTAGAACCTGCCAGGGGTCGAAACCCCTGCCGGCAAAGCTCTGTACTTTATCGGGACACGCAAGCTCTCCCACCACGACAAGGTGGCGCCCACGGGGGAGAAATGCGTTAGCTAGAGAATGAACAACCATTCTACGTAAACCTCAAACATTGGTAAAAACATTAATTTAAATAATTGTTATTGCATAAAAACGGAGGAAATTTTTTCTCAAAAATGTCATTTTTTTGTTCAAGTGCTAAAAAGTTTTGTATTTTACGGTTTTTTAACCATGTTGTTGGTTCACATAGAATAAAAATACATGAAAATTAATAACCTTTTTGGTTTTTTTGTTTCAGGTCAAAATTGCAGGCTACATTTTTTCCGCAGATTGGCAACTCGGTTGGCGAGGCGCTTTGATTAGAGATACACCATGGCGCCATTTTGCAATTATTTTACAATCTAAATTTTTTTTTACATTTGCAAATAGGCAGTTAAATATTATAAAAGTTTTCGGAACCTCAACTGCATCATTGTCAATAAAAAAAATTCATAAAAATCTCCTTTTTTTAGCCTCTTAAACCAGGTTCCCCCCTTAAGGTCAAACCGGACTTTTTTAGGACTGAAAATCCATACTTTTTACCTAAAAGTGTCAAGATTGAAAAATTTTACATTCGGATATGACGCTTTGAACCTTGACCTTGTTCTTAAGGTTATGAGTCAGTCATATCAAGGTCAATTAATTTTTTAGGCTGGAAACATATACTTGTACCCCCTCCCATAATGTGAAGAGAGAGATTTTACGTTACGTACGAGGTCACACTCCGATTGTTGGTAATTCCTCAATATCGGACGCCATTTTGGATCGGTCATCTTGAATTTGTAAAATCCAACGTAGGATTCGATTTCAGAAACGACTTCAAAAACTCCTTAAACGAGATCCAATTTTTGTTATTCTTAAATATCGGTCGCTATCTTGAATCGGCCATCTTGAATTTGCAAAATCCGACGTCGGATTCGGTTTTAGAGAGCTCAAAAATCCCAGGATCGGTATCCGAAAAATTTATTCACCATCGATAAAGTGTATGCTTCAAGGTTTTTATTTGTCTCGATTCTATCACTGTCAAACAGATAATAGATTGTTTTTGAGTTTTCATCGATTTAACAAGTTTTGATGTCATTCTAGTTTGTTTTGAAATATTATCATATTATTATTAACGATCAATGGTATATTACTTATTATTTTTATTTAAAGGTAAAGAAACCGAATTTTTTATACCAAATTCTTTTTATTAATTTTATGCAAATTTTTTGTTTTCAATTCCAAATGGCTTCTCTTACAGAACATGAGAGAGTTTCGCTATTGATGATGAGAGGATGGGGGGATAGATAAAGGTCATACAGTGAAGTGAGATTGCTGTTCAATGAAAACTTTCGTAATAAAGGCGAAGGTATTTCAATATCGACTGTATCTCGCACCATCAGACGATTTGTAGAAATTAGGAGGAATAAAAACCGCCAAAAATCTGGGAGGCCAAAGTCCCAAACGACAGAAGAGCGACAATTTGAAGTAGCTCAATCATTTGTTGAAAATCCCAGATTGTCAATTAGAAAAGCATCTTAACAGCTTCAAATGAGTGTATTGTCAATTTCCAAAAATCTAAAGACCATTAAGTTCCACCCCTACAAAATTCATCTCTTCCATGAGTTGAATGAAGATGATTTTGACCGCAGGGTGCAATTTTCAGAAGTTATGACGCAAAGAATTGAACAGCAACCGATCTTTGTGCATAATACCGTTTTTTCAGACGGAGCGTCTTTTGAAATTGAACTGGTAAGGCAAACTGCCATAATTTTAGATATTGGGACAACGAAAATCCTCATTGGATGCTTGAAGCACATACGCAGCGACCTCAAAAATGGAATGTTTGGCAGGTCTTTATGATAATCAAGTGGTTGGGCCATTTTTTATAAATGGGAATTTGAACTCAGAAACGTATCTGCAGCTTCTAACAGACCAAATTGTTCCATCAATACAGGAGATCGTTGGTGATAATTTTGATGATGTTTGACACCGCCACATTATGGACGCATTGTTCGGAACTATTTAAACGATACTTTCCCTAATCGATGGATAGGTAGAAGAGGAACAATCGAATGGCCACCGAGATCGCCCGACATTGCACCACTTGATTTCTTTCTTTGGGGCTACATAAAAGATAAAGTTTATTTCATTAAACCTCGTAACCTGGATGAGCTTCAACAACGGATCATAGACGAATGTGCTGCAATACCTCCAGAAATTATAAGGAGTGCGACTGACAATTTGTACGTCCGCTTATCACACTGTCAATGGGTCAATGGGGAACATTTTGAACATCTCTTGTAATCTCAGGCCGAGTTACAAGATGCTTTGCCTTCGGTAGCCGGGATTACCTGAACCTTGCCTTCAGTGGTCGGGTTTGAGACACCTTGCCTTCAGTGGTCGGGTTTGAGACACCTTGCCTTCAGTGGTCGGGTTTGAGACACCTTGCCTAAGTGGCCGGGTTTGAGATACCTTGCCTTCAGTGGTCGGGTTTGAGACACCTTGCCTTAAGTGGTCGGGTTTGAGACACCTTGCCTTCAGTGGTCGGGTTTAAGACAGCTTGCCTTCAGTGGTCGGGTTTGAGACACCTTGCCTTCAGTGGTCGGGTTTGAGATACCTTGCCTTAAGTGGCCGGGTTTGAGACATCTTGCCTTCAATGGTCGGGTTTGAGACACCTTGCCTTCAGTGGTCGGGTTCCGAGACGCTTTACTTTCAGTAGAACTTTCAGTAGACTTCACGATCAGTGAAGTAACGTAAATCGCATAATTTTGAGAACAAGATCAAGGTTGGAAACGTCATATTTGAACGTAAAATTTTTTAATCTTGACACTTTTAGGTCAAAAGTATGGATTTTCAATCCTAAAAAAGTCCGGTTTGACCTTAATAATAATCTTAACTCATGACCTCGAGAATAAGGGCAAGATCACGGCTGAATGTCACTCCTTGACCTCTAATAAGAATGTATTCTTATTCTTATGCGTAACATTGCTCCCTAACAGGTGAATTTTCAAAGATATTCGCGTTTTCAGCCTAAAACAAGCTTAGACCTTTATGTGACCTTCAGAGGTTAAATTTGGCAGTGTTTAAGGTCATATCTGAACGTAAAATTTTCCGCTCTTTTCATTTCTGGGATCAAAAGTATGTGGACCTATTTAAAAAAAATTGACCTGACCTTGAAATGAACTTCAAGGTCATTGTCAAGGTCAAATCCAAGGTCACCGTTAGATAGCCAAGAGAAAATCGTAAAAACCCGGTGCTTCGCATTTTTTTGGTCTCATATTTTTCGAGTTATTCTGCTCTTCCGGGACTTTTATAACACCCTGTATAACAAAGCAACTGTTATGTAACATACCATATGATTTAGCTGACATTGTAATATTGATGATACTTTGTGTTTACTGGATGTGGTCTCTATGCAGACAATCTATCGAAAAGACCCCGCACATTTTATATGAAAAAAGTTCCTTCAGTCAAATTAGTTGAAATTATGAAAATGTTGTCGTTTAGGTGGTACTGATTACAAGTTTCCTTTGGCAAAAACTCGAAAATCAAAATTATAAAAGATACAATGATTTAATTTGAGTGCTATTGGAATTTAAAAAATGCCTGCTTTTGTATACACAGATTAAGTTAATATATAAATTTTTGGAAAAACAAATATATTTTGTGCGTGTGTGTGTGTGTGTATGTGTGTGTTACGCAGAAATCAGGACCCCGTGGTTCGTCACTTCCACAGTATTTAATAACTTAACACTCTTTCTGTCGTGGATGTGTGTAGTCATTATCGCGGTGTAGTTAGTATGTAAAATAATAGTATGTAAATTAATCCTCTTATTTGCTCTATACACAGTCTCATTAGTTCTAGTTATTTTGAAAATGACAATTTCCTTCTACGTCAACAATTATGTTTGCATTATCATGTTCGTGTCTATGTGTAACATCAAGAATATAATTTATTATAACTGTGCTTGAATATTTAATAGTTTGCTCATGCTTTGCCTAGCCTAAGAATCATAAGACGCTGGCAACATGAGCACATGGTTTTTAGGTTATGCAAGATATCAATAAACTATTAAGTAGTATCCAAGCATAGTTATATTAAATTGTATTCTTGATGCTGCACATAGATATGAACATGGTAATACAAACAGACGTCTTAATAAGTTGTCAGAATGACGTCTTTAAGACGTCTTATGTCCCGATTTAAGACGTCTTTTAGATATTATTTTAAGACGCCTTTTAGACGTTATTTTAAGACGTCTTTTAGACATTAATTTAAGACGTCTAAACAACGTCTTATTTAAGATAATTTTAAGACGTTTATAATCTAATAGTCGGTAATACAGGTAAATGTAATTTTAATAAATAATCGTAATGTTATATAATAAAATTTAATTTTATTTAATAAAATGTGATTTTATTTAATATAATATAACATGTAATACATGATATTTATTAACACAAATTAAACACAAATAAAAAATTCTACTCATTGAGATTATACTGATTTTCACTCTAATAAATTAAATTTTTCGAAACTTATAAAGACCACGCTGCACGCTGACATTTTTGCAAGATTTAGAATTGATTTGGAAATGATCTGCACCATACGTTTAGTAAAGATCCGGATCACATTCCCTGACAGCCAGATAACGAGGACACTGCTTTGTATTGCATTACGCCTTGCACCTACACTCAGGAAATCTGTTCTGGCATTCGCTGCTGCATTGATAAAACTTCTCGCAGAAGTTTTGTGCTTGTATACATTGGCATGAATTATCACACTGACGGCCGGGATGATCACAAGGTGCAAAATTGTGCACGTGATTAGCACCTATTCATTTAAATGAAACGTACGAATTAGAGGTAAATAAGATAAAGGGATAGTATAAAATTTAACATACCCGAGTTCTTAAGTTGTATTTTCCGGCAATGCATAGACCACAACCGATGCTTTTTTTCTTTTTTCGCGGCGGTGTGAAGTCCTTGAGATTTTCTATGGCAGGAATGTCCGAAGCTTCTTTCTGCGCAAATTCGTAAACTTCCTTGCATGTTCTTGTTAATAATCATTTTTGTTAATAATCATACTTACTTCTTAATCAATCACTGATGTTTAATCAAAAAATATCCTAATCAATCACTAATGTGTATCCCATTGATGATGACGATGCACTGATGTTGCGTACTTAATGTATGTATATATTCTTAATCAATCAATGATGTTTAATCAAAAAAATCCTAATCAATCACTAATGTATATCCCACTGATGACGATGCACCGATGTTGCATACTTAACCCACCATTTCTTCCCAATGTTACGTATATGCAACACGAAGTTTAACTTCACAAAATGCAGTCAAAATGAACTTATTTCACAATTAGTCTAACACTTCGTGAAAAAAAATAATTACTGACGTCAGTAATTAATTATATAAACTTCGTGTTACGTATACGCAACATTGGGAAGAAATTTTGTATACTGTAGAAAAGCTGCGCAACGATAACGAAACTGTCGTTAACTCCAATAACGAGTTAAAGAATCGCACTACTGGTGTCGGGAAAGCAATATGCACGTTTTGCCCTACTCCTTCGTGTCCGACGTTTCTTACTGAATCGAAATTTTCCGTGATTCAGACTTTATCTTAAAATATCTCCACTTAGAGACAACGTACATAAAAAGCACAAGAACACTTTTCTTCCTATCTTTGAAGGCCGAATCGATTGGGACTAAGAAAACCTCGATTGGTTCAGCCATTGCTGAGATATGAAAATCTCACCTCGTTTCAACTTGCAGTTTCGCGTATAATAGGCACTACCGTGCCTCTTGATACATCTGATTGGTCTATGCTCTTAGATCCAGTCAAGAATAAGAGCATACACCAATAATGTTAAATTGAATTAATTTTACTGATACTTCTAAGGACAGTTTGAAAAAATAAATAAAAAGCAGAATCATTTACCAGTGAGAAAGAGAGACTCGGTGAACACAAAGTTATCAGTTTGCGTACAGATTGTTTGCTGAGAAGGACATCTTTAAAAAAAAATATCATGATTACATAATTCAAAAGTCATAATTCAAAAGTCTTTAAAATGTCTTAAAAATGACGTCATTTTTATGTAATAAATGATACGTCTGAAAAAAGACGTCTTTATGACATCATAATTTAAAAGTTTTTAAGACGTCTTAAAAAAGACGTAATTATGACGTAATAATTCATATGTCTAAAAGACGCCTGAAAAAAGACATCATTATAACAACATAATTTAAAAGTCTTAAAGACGTCTCAAATAAAAAGTCTGAAAGACGTCTTAAACAAATCGTCTCAAAGACGTCTCAAATAAGATATCTAAAAGACGTCTTAAATAAATCGTCTTAAAGACGTCTCAAATAAGAAGTCTAAAAGACGTCTTAAACAAATTGTCTTAAAAATGTCTCAAATAAGACATCTGAAAGACGTCTTTTGAACAACATCTTAAAGATATTTGAAATAAGACGTCTTTTAGACGTCTTTTGGGCAACGTCTTAAAGACATTCGAAATTAGATGTCTTTTAGACGTCTTTTGATAACGTCTTAAAGACGTCTAGAATAAGACGTCTTTAAGACGTCTTTCAGACATATGTGTTGTGTGGGAACTAGGACTAATAAGACTGTGTGTGTGAGATAAATAAAAGAACTAATAAGACTGTGTGTGTGAGATAAATAAAAGAACTAATATTATATACTAATTACACTGCGATAATGACCACACACACAGATACTCGACAGAAAGGGTTTGGAGTCATTAGATACTGTGGAAGTGACGAACCACGGGGTCCTGATCTCTGCGTGATACACACTGCGCATATATACACACGCACAAAATATATTTATTTTTTCAAACATTTATATATTAACTTAATCTGTGTATTCAAAAACAGGCATTTCTTAAACTCCAATAACACTCACTTTAAACCATCGTGTCTTTTATAATTTTGATTTTCGAAGTTTTTGCCAAAAAAAAACTTTTGATCAGCACCACCCAAACTACAACGTTTTAACAATTTCAGCTAATTTGACCGAAGAAACTTCTTTCATATAAAATGTGTGAGGTCCTTTGGATATATACATTTATATTTTAGATATCCACACCGGACATTGAATGTTCGCACTGAACATTGAGTGTTTATACTCTAACATTGAATGTTTATATCTAAAGATTGAGTATTAATACTCACAATTGAGTGTACATCTTAAAAGATGGAGTGGAGTATATCCAATAGCTGATGATTCGCATTCCAGATTGAGTGTAAACACCGAACATTTAAAAGTTTATTCTGAACACTTGGGTATGATACTGAATAGATAGGCTGAATAGATAAATCCTATATAAAAATTTTGAGTGTTATTCTCTAAATTGAATATTCTTAAAAGTCACCTGCGTGTTAACTTTAATAATTTTGTATTAACACTGAAATATTAAGTGCAAATGCCCGTAAATTTAAAAACTGCTTTTTAAACATGATTGTTTAAATTATATAAGTAAATGCAGCTAACTTCGAGTATTACAATTGCAATTTAATACAACCCAGTAAACAAATTGAGCGCAGATTGCACGCAAATTGGCAACAAATTCGATCAGAAACACATACCAAAACCGTAGTCATCTGTGCCCGCATTTAGATAAGGTTTTGACGACAGAGCGTGCTGCTGGACAATATATGCAAATTTGCAGCTAAAACCGCGCAGAGCCTGCAGTACAGCAGGGTCTGCTCGGTTTCTAGCGTCAAATTGCTGCATGGTCTGCATGATTTTTGCTGTAAATCTGCAACAATTCCGACAGCAGGTTCTGGCGCATATTTGACGGTAGTTTGGCAGCAAGATTTGATATAACAGCTCTTGCATCAAATATGTTGCCTATTTGCCATCAAAAATTGGTTGCAGGTTCTGTTTCAAATCTGGCCGCTCAGGTTTGGCTATCTGGGAATATAATAAACTCTTTTTATATAATAATTTTCTAAGCTTAATATATACTGTAAATGTTGTTTTTTAAATAAATTGGAAAATAATTGTGTAACAATAATATGATAAATATAATGCTCCATAATAATTATTTATATTAGTAGAAAAAAAATTAAAATATGCTATAACAAAACTTATTGATAAAATACTACATAATTATATGAATAATAATAAGATACATAATAAATATGTCATATATCAGAAGTATATACTTTTCTATAATATTACATTAATTAATAAATATGCATACATATGTTGATCTGTTTCTATTTTATTAACTGTCATAGGACTTACTATTACATGATAAAAGTACACATTTACTATATAGTTTCAGTGTATATACATTGTCTTATTTTAACTTACCTAATAGCCATAATAAATAATAAACAATTTATTAACAACATTGTTAATCAATTGTTATTTGGTAACAGATTGTTTTTTCTGTCTTACTCATTATTATCATATTATTATATTTATATACAAATTGTTACATTATTTGTATTATTCGTTATTATATAATGAGTATTTTAAACGAATATTTTCTTTCAGAATATAATCTGTCAAGTGCTATATTCATCAACCGAGCTGACTTTTTGAGAAAAGTCAAAAGTCTCAGACACTTCTCGCCGAGCCAGCAGCCAAGAAAGAAGCTCCTCTTACATCACTTAGTGTCTAGTGGATATACCAAGTTACATTTTTTACTCATTCGGTTCTCTATAAATTGGCTTGGTTGACTCATTATCATCACCAACGATAACCAGTCTTCACACCAACCCCGAAAATACGAACGCTATCCAGAACCTAAGGCATCACACGATATCTGGACCCAAAGTCGAGGCCGACAACAGGCTATTATCCTTCACCCAAAGGGAACCACCATACGGCAACAGTAAACCTTTCTTTTTGTTGTGTTTTCTCATTTATTGTTTTTTTTCCTCACTACCTGCTCTCTTCTCTTATCTTTCTTCTCTCTCTCGTTTTTCTTTCTTTTTTTCCCTTTCTCTATCCCCCTTGGCATGTCTCCTTAATTGTAGAATCCGATTGCAGTGACTCAATGTTATCAAGTTCAAACGGACCTAACTACCTCAGAAAAGTACGAAAACCGCGAAGATTTTGAAGTCGCCTTATTAGAACTCGCATTACAAGATCGCCCTGACTACCATTGTTCGCCATAACGAATCCGAAGTTTCAAGATTTGCACATTCTCATTTGTTGTTCCTTCCCGATTCTCCCCCCGGAACTCCTCCTATATCTTATTCCCCAACATCCCTGAGTCCCACCGAAGACCGATCTCCTATAGGTTCTCCTTTATTTTGGAGCCCATCCCCGACACCTCCCCTCCAATCTCACCTCTACGAGGGGGTACGCATGGCTTCCACGCGGCCTTACTCCGTGGCCCCATTCCTATTTATTCTCCCCCTCCCTCGGAGGCATCCTCGCGTCGATCCTCTCCCTCACCACGCACTTCCCCGACACCTGATCTTCTCGTACCTGAATATCCCTCGGAATAATTAAAAGTAGCCTCTAGAACCGCGACTACATATATATATTTATATATAATTACACAACGTATATATCTGATAATCGATTTTCTTGCAACTTAAAATTAATACTTATATCAATAAATGCACAATTTGTAAGTAATACCCAACCACTCGTCACAAATAATTATTTAATGTAAAAATCCTCCTTTTCCTCAACCGTCGCTCACGGTCCTATCCCAGGTAAAGGGATTCAGTTCCCTGACCTAAATAAAGGACCATCGACGTACGTCCGCGCCAGATAAAGGGATCATTCCGATCCTTGATCTATACCGCAGACTTGCAAGTACGTCGGAGCTTGCGAAAGCAAGCGTCAAGTTGCGTTCCTCCTCCAGGACGTAACACCAGCTTGTTGTTATACTAAGCTTTAGTGTAACAACGGCTTCAGATTTAAACACAAGTACAATGTCCTCAATTTGAGCATTCATTTGAGTGTTACTCTCTGCTGCAGAGTAATGCTCAAATTAACTCTCAAGTTGAGAATAACACAGACATAATTCTCAAATTGTGGATGACACTCATGAAACAGACATGTTGACAATAGTATGCAACGTATTCAATGTATATTTTGTGATATCATTGAAGTGGCATAACATATTT